TTTGGAAATTAGCAATAAACTCTGTAACACACGTCCTTAAGTAGTGCCGGCGTATGATGTGACTCAAAAATTAGCTGATGTTCAAATAAACCTAAAAATTGGGGAGCTTAATCCTTAAACAATCTGGTAGCAAACACAACACAAGACATGCACAGTAAACCGGAAGTGAATGTGAATACCCGGAAATAGAGTGAAAGACTGGAAATAGAGCAAAACAGCTAGTTTGGCTTTGTCTACAAGTAAAAGTTCACTAATTAACATTTTATGAATCATTTGTTTAATCCAAGCAAAAGTATACAAAAGACAAGTTCTCAGGTGGGTTTGTTGTTGTTTCTGTACTTCAAAAACAAATAAGCTCATTTTCCAAAAGGTTGAACTACTCCTTTAAGGTATGGGAACAAGGACTAGTACAGGTAATGGCTTAGGTTGGACAGCAGCAACTTGTCAATAACAACAATGAATGAAGTGTCCTCCCAAACTGTGCAACACAAGCATGGGTGCACTGAGTGTCATCCTTTTTGTGTGTGTGTTTCGATGAAAATTGCCTTTACTCTATGAATTGTTATGTCACTTTCAAGCATGGCCAAGCATAAAACCCAATTTCCAAGAAAAGTTGGGACACTGTGTAATAGGTAAATAAACATATGTTGCAGTGATTTATCAATTATTTAAAAACTTGTATTTAATTGAAAATAGTACAAAGACATCATACCAAATGTTGAAACAGAAATGTTATTGTTTTTTGAAAAGTTGGGACAGGAACATGTTTACCACTGTGTTGCATCAGCTCTACTTTTAACAACACTCTGCAAGTGTGGAGACCAATTACTTTAGTTTTGAAAACAAAATGTTTTTCCATTCTTGCTTGATACAGGATTTCAGCTGCTCAACACTTCGGGGCCTCCTTTGTCATATTTCTCACTTCATAATGTGCCAAATGTTTTCAGTGGGTGACAGGTCTGGACTGCACACAGGACAGTTTAGACTCTTATTTCAGAGCCATGCTGTTGTATGTGCACAATGTGGTTTGGCATTGTCTTGCTGAAATAAGTAAGGTCTTCTCTGGAAAAGACACAGTCGGAATAGCAGCATATGCTTCTCCAAAACCTGTAAATATGGTTCAACATTAACGGTGCCTTCACAGATGTACCAGTTACTCATGCCGTGTGCACTAATGCACCCCCATGACATCACAGATGCTGGCTTTTGAACTGTGTGCCTACAAGCTGGATGGTTCCTCTCCTCTTTAGCCTGGAGGATGAGACATCCATGAGCTCCAAAAATAATTTCATATTCTGACTCATCAGACTACAGGACAGTTTTCCCACTTTGTCTCAGTTCATGTTAAATGAGCTTGAGCCAAGAGAAGGCGGTACTGTATATAAGCCTCTTTGCAGTTAAATTAGTAAACATTATTCTTCAGTTATTGAACTGTTTGCCACAGAGCGGTGAACCTCACCCCATCCTTATTTCTAAAAGACTCAGCCTCTCAGGGTCTCCCAGTCAGGATACTGACCGGTTTCCAACTAATCTAAGTAACTGTGAGGTGTTCCACTTTTTAGCATTCCACAACTTTTCCAGTCCTTTGTTGCCACTGTCCCAACTTTTTGGAGATGAGGTTGTATGTGGATCCATTCCCTGAGCCTCAGTTTGTGAAGAAATCATTTCTGTTCTACATGAATGTCTGTACTTTTATTGACTGAGGGTTCAAGCCTTACATTATGCTCATTCTCATCACCAGTATTTTGCCATAGCACAGTCAGTGGACCAGGGTGTAATATCAAAAACATTTCCCTTAATTTTTTTAGAGGGAAAGTCAGCATTAAATTACATCATTATAGTATTATTCCCCAGTGTGTGTGGGAAATATGAGGTATCATAGTATCAGAGAGGGGGAGAGAGATCTGAAGCTATTTATTAGAGAATACAGTTTCCATCCCACTCCTGCAAGTGAGGCTCAGGGGACCCAACTCCCCATGGACTCTGTCTGTGTAGAAAACTTCACTGGATTTAGCGCAAAAAGCACAATTTATTGGATTATGGGGTCCACCGTTTATGCTCATATTGCTGGAGGCTGTGTGTGCGTTTGTGTGTGTTTGTGTGTGTGTGTGCATATGTGGCAGTATATGTGGGTGGGCTTCTTTTGAACTGAGAGAGTAAATACACAAAAAAGTCCCATTTACTTTCCTGTTTTATATGCAGAATTTCTCACAGAGCCCTGGCTTTTCATGTTCATTGGTTAGATGTTGAAGCAGACCTGAGGAGCAGAGCGCTGTAAATGAAGCAGCGCCATGAAGGGTTTTCTTGTTTCATGTGGATTTATTGGCACCTGTCTAATTTCAGTCCTCAGGAAATGTTTTGTCTGCACAGACAGGATAAGGTTTTAGCACACACTCATGGTTAGATGGACTCTCTGCTGATGATATTATGCTCCATAATAGTCTTCATATACACAGAGATTCACAGTGAGAGTGATTTACTGGCACCTTTTATTTGTGTCCTTGGTGCCTATTCTAGTAAGTAACCCTGCTCACCCAGATTCCAGCCTAGGTAGTGTGGGATGTTGCATTTTCTGTCTTGTGTTTTCAAGTTAATCTTTCTCTCATCCACGTTTTCTTTTATGCACCCTTTCAATGCTGCTGCTTTAAAAATAAAATTACAATAATACTATCTCTAGCTGTAGTGGTTTTAATATCATTAATCCTAGAGAATGGAAGCATACAGTAAAAGGCAATGGGATTTTGTCCTGCTGTTTCCAGCATCATTCAGGCATGCTTTGATTGGTAGATGTGTCCATTCCTTAGTGGGTTACTTACTGAGATAAAGAATCACAGAGGCTGGGAGCAACCTTTGCATTTGCCTCTTTATTATTTATTCTGCACCATGGCACATGAAAAGCATGCGGAGCAGGAGCAGCTGAAACTTTGCTCTGTGTGGAGAGTGTAATCATAACACAGTATAACAAGACAACAGCTAGAACTGGGTGATGACTGGCAACACTTATAACGATACGACCTCTGTACTCATAACTGCACGGACTAACACCACCCAGGCTGCAGAGGATTTGTTTATGCTGGGCAGGACATCTGTGAAGGACTATTGTAGAGGAGACAAAATCAATTTCACTGTGGGAGAGGACATTTAATTGCAGAGATTCAGGGTGTCATGTATATACTGTGTGACCCGAAGTGTGTCTGCTGTATTCCTCTCATGGAGCTTTTGGAGGGCCTGAGTGCTTCCTTCTGCCAGAAGCACCATCCTTGTCCCAGTGACATTCCACCTTAAAAAGACGAATGTGCATAACTGGCTCACTGGCAGTGACACATCGTGATTCACCCTGCCATGCTGTTTCAGTATGGCTGCTGGCAAGTCGAGCCTTTCTGTAGCCTCTCCCCTCCCCACTTTGGTCGTTTGTTTGTCTCCCCTGCTAGGCTGTTTACTTGTAATTTGGACATCTGTCAAGGTGGTTTGTTTGCTACCCTGTGGTGTGATTGGACTACCTTTGCCAAATCTGAGAAGATACATGGGGCTCTAGCAAGTCTGGCTGTAAAGACAAAGCCAGAGTTTGGCTACTTTTCATCTACCAAGTTTAGTAGGGTAATTAAAAAAAAGAGTGGGTGGTAAAAAGGGTGCTGTGAAAGAGATGCAACAAGTTCAGCAGATTCAGGTCAGTGGTCACAAACATATTTATCATGCTTGTTCACACTCTCTCCTGCAGTCTTAATGGTGGTCTTGTGCAGTGTCCCAGTACTGTCTGTTTGGTCCCTCCTTATCCTGTCACACAGTCTGTTCATAGCTGAACCCTGGTGCCAGATCCTCTTCTTACACCAGGGGAGGGAGTAGGGCAATTAACCACCTGCTGGTCAAGCAGACATACTGCATAGCCTCACACACACACCCTTATGTTTGCCAGATCACTCATGAACAAATCCATACACAGATTTACTCTAGTGTCACCCATGCAATGAAAGAGGAGTGGTGTGATGCTGATTTCAAATTTGCTTTCTGATCATGTTTCATCCCAAGCATTACTAATTGGTTCATCTCCTTAATGAACATTATTGGCAGGATCACATTAACCCAGCACTTAATGGCTAATGTCATGCACTGTGCTCACATTACATACTGTACACTCACACACAGTCAATCCTGGATTATGCCACCAGCATCTAACTTCTCTGAAGATGGTGACATTTTGTACTTTAAAACATATTATTAAACATTAAAATACACCAATTGCTTATCTGGAGCTGTTTTAACTGCAAATCAAAACTGTTCTGCTCTGATAGCTGATAAGAAGTTATGACATGAAGAGCTGGTTCAAATAGCTCAAACTATTTGCAGTTTCTGTAATAACCTCAATCAATAAAGTTGTATTACAGCCTAAACACTGCAGCAGTCACATTAATTGCACTGCAGTTTACAGTTCTGTCACTATCTTGGCACTGAGGTACAACTCAACACGTGTCCGTGTTTTCCATCTGTCTCTGAGCAAAAACAGTCAGTCAGTGTTTTCACAGGTGTGACACAAGGGTGTGTCTTGGGAAGAGTGACAAAACAAAACCTTGTCATACCCATTCAAATTTAATTAACCCTATAATAGGATGAATAAAAATCTGTATCATTACATTCAAACTACAGCAGAGAGAAACCCTATTATACTGAGGAATTTATGATATGCACTGATAGACGATAGAAATGTTGAGCAACAGAAGAAGCAGCACAGCAACATAGTTGTTGAACTACTCAGCACTGGCAGGTAATAATTCATCTCTGTCATTAGCTACTGTAACCATAATGATAATCAGAAAACAAATACTGTATAACTAATTAAAGTCTTTTTGATTTTTAATTTTTATACACATATATATTATCCTTATCAATGTGTCACATTTCTGATTAACAAAAGTATGTTTCCAAAAACAAAACTTGAATGGTTTTACGTTTCCATCTGTAGGAGTGGTAGACACATGCACTATGGACAGAGAGGGTGTGGCCATAGTTACTGCTGCTGAGTTTCACCTGAGAACAAAATAAGAACACTTCCCCAGCACTGAAACATTAGCAGGACTTGAAGGGTTTACTATGGATTATTTCTTCTCTTTAAGGTATGTCAGAGCTGTTATATTTTTCTTTCTGTGACTTTCTTGTTCAGCTGAGCTCTGTTTGAGTTTCTTGGTAATGTGTACTTAAGAATGAAACAGTTTGTCTTATCTCAGTGATATCTAGTTAGTCTACACCTCACCTACTCTGAAAACAAGAGCAAAGGTAGCACTGTGTGTTAGATGTGAGTTAAAGAGGTGAATGACAGCCATGCAGCACAGTTTAGCTTTGAAATTAAGGGGGGGCGCAAAATAGAAGCATTTGAGACAGCTACTAAATTGACATTCTTAGAATAACTTCTTCCATGTTGCTTTATTTTCTCAGTGTTACAATGGAGCCTGTATACACAAGCATGAAGGTGGCTCTGCTGTTTCTGGTAACAGTTCAACTTAGGACAGGTGAGTTAGATTTTATATTTCAAGAATGTGTTTTAGGGTTTTGATAAGTAAGATCAAGCAAATGTCAAATGTGACATATCGATTGTACATCACTAACAGAACAGGTGCTTTGTCTGTGTTGAGCCAGTTTGTGATTCACACAATAGACAGTCCAGTCTAACACACTCGTAGTTAATGATCCAACTGGCTGGAAATGTTCAGTGAACCATGTATGTATGTTGTGGATGGCTGACAGGTACTCTGCACAACATTCGTATCTCTTTTGCTGTTATTAAAGGTCAAGCTGCTACAGAATGTGCATTTGTAAACCAAGGCCCTGAGAGACTTTATTGTCCGCAGCAGCCCTTCATCCATGTCTGGTTTAATACCCAGTAACATAAAAAAGGAATAATGCTGTGACTACTGTACACATGCCTGTGACTAGAAAATAGTGCACTCTGGTAATGCATTCTGTAGTATGCAGAGTGAAAGTGTACTAATAAAATGCATACTGAACTCTAATCTTGTACCCCCTGAATCTTTATATTGATCCACCTCATTAGACCAACAGTTTGCTGCTCTGTGTTGAGTCTTTAAGTTCCAGTGTGACTTCCCACTAGTAAACTGAGAGAAAAGTGTTATCCAGTCTGTTGTCTGGGCCAATTAGGAGATACAAAGGATCAGAATATTTACAGCTGTTTATATCAAAACTTGCGACTGCGCTCACTGACGAGTTTCCTCAGCCGAGTCTCAACACTTCAGGGACTCACTGAGTCTCCCCCCATGGGGACTTTTACACTGTAAACTTTTAACGGACTAATTTCAGCTTTTTTTTCAGATTCCTTTCATCACATCTCCCATTTACATGCTTTCATAAATACTTGTGTTGTTGCAGTGGCATTAAAATGCTTTCAGAGATTTAATGATGAGCAGAGTCACAAAAGCTGATCTGCATGCTACATTAAGATATTTAGTGAAGGTTAAAGAAGGCAACACTGCCAGGGTAAATAACTTGGATTTGTTGAAATGTGTTGTGTAAAAATAATCTTTCTGTAAACATCTACGATAGCAATCTACAATCTATGACCATAAACTGTGAGTCAGCAGGGTGTGTGTCAACGCCCAGACAGCTGTAAACTACCCGCTTGTCAAGTACATTTCTCGTGTTTGCTCACCTATTCAGTTTTCATCATATACATATGCATGTATATTACTGACAATTAATGAGCCTCAAATTTTTAATTATTACATAACTCACTTTTTCAAAGATACCATTTTTACTTGAAGCTTCAAACTTTTTAATTTTCAGTGAGACTTAAGAGGCCAATTAGTCTCAGATCAGCACTCCTACTCTGAGACTGTTGATGAGCACAGGCCCCGAGCTTGAATACCATAAAGTGGGGCAAAATATTAATGCGTATGAGAAATAAGGTTTTTTTTTTTCTGTTTGTCTTTTGGCCTGGGTAGATGATTATGAAAACAGGAGGGAGGAAGAACTGTGTATTATGAGGCAGACAAATATAACCAAAATCTTACTGACCCATCAGACGTGACGGAGGCAATGCAGATAACATCCACGGGGCCACAGACCATTCAAAAACCCGAGGGGGACACAGTTAACCTAGGCTGCGCCTACACAGCTGGCCCCCAAGACTCAGGAGATCTGGACATCGAGTGGTCCAGCCTCAGCCCAGACATGACACAGAAAGACACACTGGTAGGTGTATGTTTGAGAACAAAGAGGGGTGTCTGTGGTGTCCCCCCCCACCTGTCATGCATGCATGACAGGTGGGGGGAATATGTTTACCTCTCTAGATAGTGGAAAATCTTGCTATGGACATCACTAAACACAAGCTTTGCATCTCAGATATTATCATATGCAGGGGGCCAGACGCTCTACTACGGCGACCCCAGCCTCTCCAAAAGGCTCCAGTTCATAGCGGACCCTGCGCAGGGAGATGCCTCCATCAATATCTCCAACGTGAGGCCCTCAGACACAGCCACCTACAAGTGTAAAGTGAAGAAGACACCAGGTGTTGACACACGAAAAGTCACTCTGGCGGTAATGGGTGAGGAGGAATTCCTTTTGACCAGTTTTACCTGTTAGTTTTCTCCGCCCTCTTTTTCTTTTAAATGCTGCTGTCATTCACAGGTAATGTTTGGGCACTTTCTTTTTTCTCACCTTCCCTCATTTGGTGATCGCACCTTTCTCTGTAACCATACCAAGACTTGCATTTTTTTGTCACACCTGAACTGAAACATTATTTACATGAAAAATTTTTCCTTTGAATTACACAGAAATAGCCTTGCTGAAACCTAAACTAGACGGAATGATCCTAATTAAAAAATATTCACTTTTAAGCTCGCTTGCACTCTCTCTCCTGCTCTCTTCAAGGCCTTGTACAATTAGAGATAGAAAAGGCCTTTTTAATGTTTCTAAAGCTAGACATATTCATTTTCTTCCACTAGTTCCTCCATCAGTGCCACAGTGTTGGGTTGAAGGTGGTGAGGAGAAAGGTGGCCCAGTCTCCCTGCGTTGTAAATCCTCTGTGGGATCCACTCCCATCAGTTACATATGGACAAGACAGACCGGTGGTGCGATGCCATCCACTGCAACCCAAAGTGAGGAAGTAATTTAATAAATAAAAGTGCTTTGCTATATACTTTCATTATGTGAATTTGTGAATGCTCCCTTCTTTCATTAAGACTCACAGAGTGGGGAGCTTTTGATACAAAACCATACAGACAGCAACGTTGGACGTTACGCGTGTGAGGCTTCAAATGCTGTTGGCAAAGGACAGTGTAAATATGAACTGAATGCGTACAACCGTAAGTCTATTATGTCATCATCTGTTTTTTACTCTTGAGTACTTAACTCACTTATATCCTAAGGCAACACTTTCATTTTGTGGCAGTCTGTGATGCAAATGATAAAATCATGTGTAAACAACTTGTTGAAGCTAAAATTTATGACCGTAAAAAATGAGAGCTGCACCTTTTGTGTTCTCTAAGCACTCATCCTGTCTTCCAGCTACCAATAAGGTGGGTGTCATAGTTGGAGCAGTGTTAGGTGCCCTCTTGCTGCTGCTCCTCCTCCTGCTTCTCATCTGGCTCCTGATCTGCTGTTGCCATAAGCGCCGCTATGAGAAAGAGGTCGCCAATGAAATAAGGTATTGTACGAGAGCTGGAAACAATTACAAACACCCATGAACTCATCTCAAATCAGAAGAATATCTAACTGAGGCCTGTGTGATCTGCTTCCTCAGGGAGGACACCAGGGCCCCAGAGAGCAGACCCGCCAGCAGACACTCCAGCTACCGTTCAGTGATGAGATAACGCA